TGTGTTAAATCAAAATGTATATAAATTATTGTTCTTTAATTTTATCAAGTATCAAATTAATAAAATCATCCACTTGGCATTAACCAAGCGGTGTTGAAACTAAGGTATTTTTTTATACTTTTCATATGAATTAATGAGTTTCTTTTTTTCATCCATATTAATTGTGAATATGTACATAATGCACATATTCGGAGTATATTCACTGGTGGTTGTGGGGGTTCATTTTTAATATTTGTGCATGTTTAGTGTTGTATATGGGTAAGAGTAAATATTTACAAAAACAAAAGTGCATCCATTGCATCTTTAGCATACAAGTTACAAAATAAAAAATAATGAAAAATTGTTGCTTTATTTTACGCATGGAAAACTTCGTTGAGGGTTTGTTTGGTTAGAAACCAATTTCATTAGGAAAGTTTTTATTAATAAAGTAATTAGAAAAGTATTATACAAAATGTTGAAAAATATTATACAAAAAGTTGATAAATTTTATAATGAAGTTTGTTAAAATTTTGTTAAATTATTAATTTTTTTGTATTTAGTAAAAATTTGACATGGAAAAAAATTGTAAGAAAGTTGTCAAGTAAGAGGAAAGTTTGGAAAAGACCTTTTTTTTTAAAAAAAAAAGTATGAAAAGAAAATTTTACTAGTTAAGACTTGTGTCGAGAAAATAAATACAAAAAATATCATTTTTACCTATTTTTTTATTATAATATATTAATTTTATTATAGTATATTAACATATTAAAATACATAACTATGTAAGAGAAAAATTTGGGGGAGAATATATGTTTTCCCCAACCAAATAGGCCTAAGAACTAGCAATCTTATTAACTTTTCCTAAGGTATCATGCCCTAAGATATCTACTCGGGCTTGTTTAGCGGAGTTTAAATGTATAAACTTATTTTTACGAAGTTTTTTTTTCATAAATTAAAAAATTTATTGAAAGAAAATTTTAAATTTGTCTTTTAAAGTGGCTTAAAATACTTAAAAGCAAGATTTAAGAAAGTTTTTAAACCACCTAAAAAATTAAATTCAAAATTGTCTTTCAATATAATTATGAGAGAAAAACTTACCTCTATGCTGTCAATTTTACCGACGGTTTTGTTGGGTTACATTTATAAGCAATTAAAACAAGATCATGAATGATAATTTATTCCAATGTCACTAATGTGTTCAATTATATTTGGGAATAATCGACTGTTATCTGCTTATACGAGACAAATAAGAGATAGCCTACACAATATAATAAAGAAAGGCAGTTTTTTTTTTTTCAAAGTTTTAAATAAGAAATTAATTAAGTGGGGACAATATGGGAAGAAATCACGAGAGTAAAGGAGAAGATAGGGTCATGGTTATGGCCATCAAAAGAATTTTTAGGGCCACACAAAAATCATATACTTGTATTTAATTTAATTGTTAAAGATAATTAATAATTATAATTGTTAGTTGATTGGTAAATAAAATATATAATATTTATTATAAAAAAAATACATATAAGTTCTGACTTTTAAACTAAAATTGAAATCTTAACCTTAAACTATATTGTTTTATTTAATTAAAACTTAAGTTAAAATTTAAAAATTTATCTTATTAAATATTGATATTTAGATTTAAAAACTTATTAGATTTTGAAATTTTGAATTAAAATTTTAATTTCTAAATATAAATTGAGACTCCATTTTTTTTTAATTAAAATTGATACACATTAATCCCATTTATTATTTAATAATTGAATTTAAAATGTATGAAAAAAATTATTTAATAATTTAAAATCAACTTATAACATAATGTTTTTAAACACTTTAATTTTTATGTGTTCCCAACAATTTATTGGGTGTTTATGACACTGCTAGGTCTTGGAAAAAATGTATAATAGGCTTTTAGAGGAGTTGATCAAATGAGAGTTTGAGCTTACAAAAGGTATTAACCTTGGAGGAGAAATGGATAAAATGTAGAAATACCGTCTAGAAAGCAAAAGACTTGTTCATTAATTTCATCTTATAAGGCATATGGGACATTTAGTTACTATTGTTGTCGCCATATCCATTGCCATCAATGTTGGTATCTTTTCAACTCTTTTCAACTCTTTTCATTTTCAGGATGCCGTTGAATACGCTGGTTGTGAAGCAGTCGTCAAAAGCTTTCCTCCATTTAGAGAGGCAATGAAGAAGAGGGGTATTGAAGATATGGACCTCGTGATGGTTGATCCATGGTTTGTTTTCTTTACATACGATTTTCTTTGTATTAGTTGTCTCATCTTCTTGTGTGTCAGGTCCTTGCAGTTATAAATTTGATTTTATAGCCTCAAAGGGGTGTCTCAAATAGTTAACAGCCTGATATCCAAGTTAGAGATCTTATATTATGATCCTTGAGGCAGGTGGAGTCATATGATCCACAGAAAAAAGGAAAAATTGATTTAACTTTGCACTTTCACAGGTGTGTTGGTTATCACAGTGATGCTGATGCTCCTAGCCGAAGACTGTCCAAGCCACTTATTTTCTGTAGAACTGAGAGTGACTGTCCCATGGAAAATGGCTATGCCCGCCCAGTTGAGGGAATTCATCTACTTGTTGACATGCAAAACATGATTGTGATTGAGTTTGAAGACCGCAAATTTGTTCCACTACCTCCAGCCGATCCATTGAGGAACTACACTGCGGCTGAAACTAGAGGCGGAATTGACCGAAGTGATGTGAAGCCCTTACAAATTGTTCAGCCCGAAGGTCCTAGCTTTCGAGTTAATGGGTACTATGTAGAGTGGCAGAAGGTGGGGTAGAGTGGTTTTATTTGATATTTTGTTAATAAATTTAGAAACCGGTTATTAAGAGTCTCACTGTCTAAATTTGTTGTTTGCAGTGGAATTTCCGCATTGGTTTTACTCCCAAGGAGGGTTTGGTTCTGTATTCTGTTGCATATGTTGATGGAAACCTGGGTCGAAGGTCTATTGCCCACAGGTTAAGTTTTGTGGAGATGGTTGTGCCTTATGGGGATCCAAATGATCCTCATTACAGGAAAAATGCTTTTGATGCTGGGGAAGATGGGCTTGGAAAAAATGCACATTCTCTTAAGAAGGTTCAAGCATTAATTCTCTAATTCTTCATTATTTTTTATATCTGAAATTCTCATCCAGTCTTCTTTTCTCTAGTCTAGTTTAAAAATTGATATGCAACAAAAATCTTATTGCAGGGATGTGACTGTTTGGGTTTTATCAAACACTTTGATGCTCACTTTACAAACTTCACTGGAGGTGTTGAAACAATTGAAAATTGTGTATGTCTTCATGAAGAAGATCATGGGATTTTATGGAAGCATCAAGATTGGAGAACTGGCTTGGCAGAAGCTCGAAGGTCTAGACGCCTAACAGTGTCTTTCATATGCACTATTGCCAACTATGAGTATGGATTCTACTGGCACTTCTATCAGGTAAGTTTTAATCGTAGTGCTGCTGCTGCTTAATATCATGTTTATCGTTTCTGGACTGGGAAAATTCCTGTTGGAGACATGTTTGTAAGTCTTAAAACATAATTTTGGTATTCGAATCATGAAGATTCGCTTTTACAAGTATTGCGGTTAACCCTGTTGCAATTTCCATGGCGTCAACATGCTTATTGAATATTTTGGATATGTCAAATGGTATTTCTTTTTCACCACAGGATGGAAAGATTGAAGCTGAAGTTAAACTTACTGGAATTCTCAGCTTAGGAGCATTGCAGCCTGGTGAATCTCGAAAATATGGTACCACAATTGCCCCTGGTTTGTATGCACCAGTTCATCAACACTTCTTTGTTGCGCGCATGGACATGGCTGTTGATTGTACACCTGGTGATGCATTCAATCAGGTAATTTTAAACTTCAGGTTTTTATTTGTTTAGGGACTAAAAAGCTGCTAAAGTCTTGATCATCATATAATTTCAAGTGACACCTATATTTTTGCAGGTTGTTGAGGTGAATGTTAAAGTTGAGGAACCTGGGGAGAAAAATATTCATAATAATGCATTCTATGCAAAAGAAACATTGCTTAGATCTGAACTGCAAGCAATGCGAGATTGTAATCCTCTGACTGCTCGTCATTGGATTGTAAGAAATACAAGAACTGTAAATAGGACTGGTCAATTGACAGGCTACAAGCTGGTACCTGGATCAAACTGTCTACCATTAGCTGGTTCTGAGGCCAAGTTTCTGAGAAGAGCTGCTTTCTTGAAGCATAATCTTTGGGTGACACAATATGCACAAGATGAAATGTTTCCCGGAGGAGAGTTTCCAAATCAAAATCCACATGTTGGTGAAGGGTTGGCTACATGGGTTAAGCAAGATCGATCTCTAGAAGAAACTAATATAGTTCTTTGGTTAGTTGAAGTCCTTTTTCTTCCATTCCAAATGCATCCACTTATACCAAAACGAGTTAATGTATCATCCTCACAGCTACTTCCCAGTAAAGCACTTAGAGTACCTAACCATATCATTAAATTTTAACATGTGAACTGCAGGTATGTTTTTGGAATCACACATGTTCCTCGGTTGGAAGACTGGCCTGTCATGCCAGTGGAGCACATTGGTTTCATGCTA